TGTTATTTTCATTACTGTCAATCGTTGTATCGAAGGGTTTCATATCTTGGTCTTAAAAGAATGTATGTTGATGGAGACCAACTTAAATTTGTAGTAAAAATGTCTATGTGTCTTCCTTATCTACCAGAAATTAGAATTAATTCCGCATTTAATGAAATTGTAAAATACAACAACGATGAAGATAAAAACAAAGTGTTGATTTATTTCAAAAAGGAATTATTTAATCGGGGCTTTTAAGAAACGGTTTTGGTGTGTCTATGGATTAACTGAAAGAACATTAAATTGTGCAGAAAGCTTTCATTCTGCTTTGAACAGATTAAGTGGGTTAACACATCCAAATGTTCACGTTTTTATAGAAAAACTCAAAAAATATCTAAAAATATTGGACGTCACTTTTTTAATACAACACACAGTTAATTAAACGACGACAAAACAAAAAAACCACTGAGAAAAATATGTCAATTAACAAAAAACAAAAAGAGTTATTTAGTGAAATTCCTTTGACATCGAAAAAAATTTTAATAGATCGTATAATCATTTTAAATAGAAAGGAAAATAGAACCGTTTTTGAATCTGATGCCGAGTCAAGTGCGCTTGGGGTCGATAATGAAAATAAAATTATCCAAAAATTAGAACAATATAATAATTGCACAAATATTGGTGGAACACAAGAAAAAACAAATCAGAAATTACAACCAACTGAACAACAAATAGATACAGAGTTTGGTAAATTTACATTATAACAAAATGAAAAGTAAATTAATACACAGAGAAGATAATTTATTTAACACAATTGTAAATGATAGAGAAATTCAAATTGAGAAACGAAGTTGGCAATCAACCGAGTGTTTTCTAGAAGATGTACAATTATCAATGCAAAATAACAATTACAAAGCACCCAAATTAAGAAGAAGAAAAAGTCTTGCAAAAGAAACCAAAAAATTGATGGAAACTATGTCGGCTCAGAGAAATACCAAAAAGAAAAGAAATAAACTTAACTAAATCATTCAATTAATTTACAAATCGATATCAGTGTTTAATTATTGTTTATTTTAACATCATATTTTATTAATTCATTAAAATTGAAATAATTTAAAATTGTTTAATCATATTTAATTAACAATAAAAACATAATTTAATTAATGTTTAATGTCATTTTATATAAAAAAATGTTTGTTATAAAAATATTAAATAATATAAAACACGAATAAAATGATCATTTGTTGTTTTTTTGAATAAATAATATTAAAAGCATCACATGTATTTATTTATAATAATTAATTATTATATTTTATTAATATAAATTATAGTAAATATTAATATTTTATTTGTTGTATACAAATATTTATTGTTGAAATTTTGTTGAACTTGTGTTGAACTTTTGTGAAATTACAGGGGTGAATTCTCGGGAAAGTTTGTATAGGGGCGAGTTTTCCTATTCCCGTTTTTTTTCACATATTTTTGAATTTTTGCATAATTTTCATTATTTAAACGAGAATAGAATCATTATCAAAACGTTGTTCTTTCCTTAACGTTGTCCCCTCAGTTTAAGATATTACAGTGGGCATATTTAAGTACTTATTTTGAAAATA